ATCAGGAGGCATCCTGTCGCTGTCCTGAGTGCGGTGTTCTGTGCAGTTTGTAGCTTCGTCCACTGCGTCCTACTAGTCCCCGGCGACCACACTGGCGCTGCGTAGTTCAAAACCGGCCGGCCTATTGCCTTGAAAGTTGCCAGCAACGTTTCTTTGTCTTTGCCCCAAGTACTGCCGGCTAGCGACTTGAGGACCTTGTTGCGGCTCTGTACTTTATTGACAATAGCGGTTGCGTGCGCAGAGAAGGAGAGCAGACTGTCGAATGTTACTCCGAGTATTTTGGGGTTATTCACCGTCGGAATTGGTGTGTCATCGACGTGAATTCCCAGCGGTAGCCTGACCTCCTTCGTCCAGGTTGTGAACAGGGTCGCAGAGGATTTCGTAGGGGAGAGGGCTAGACACTTTGCAGTGAAGAAGCGAGAAAGTTCGGAGAGATACCCGTTTACTTTCGAACACAGGTCATCAATTCCATTCCCAGTCGCCATGATCGAGCAATCGTCGGCGTAAGAGACAATCGAGACTCCCTCTGGTGGTTGGGGGAGCTTTGAAATGTAAAAGTTAAACAGTAGCGGGGAAGGACACCACCCTGTGGAACCGCCTATTTTATTTTTCTAAGTTTACTCGATTTGTCTCTAAACATTACCGACGAGTGTCGACCACTCAGATAATTTGCCGACCACCGTTTGAACCTCTGTAGGAGAGAGAAAGCCTCTATATCTTCTAGTAGCGTGGAATGGCAGTGTCAAACGCCTTTGACAAGTCCAACGCTACTAGAATCGTTCTCTCACAGGGACGGTTTCGGTTAAGGCCACGAGTTATCTGAGTGTTTATGGCGTTAAGTGCTGTTGTTGGACTGTACTGTACTTTACGGAAACCATGATGATGCTTCGCTGGGGTCAAGTGGTTTGTGAAATACGGGAGTAGCAAGGCCTCGAGTGTCTTCGCTACCGGGGAAAGGAGTGTTATCGGCCGATAAGAATCTCCTTTGTTGGCAGGTTTCCCCGGTTTGAGCAGTGGGACCACTCTGCCCACCTTCCAGATTTCTGGGATGATGAGAGTGGCCATAGACAAATTGAGGACCTTCGTTAGGTACGCTACCCCCGCAGGACTCAAATTTTTCAGCATCAGCATGCATATTCCCTCGGGACCCATAGCTTTGGAGGTTTTCGCCTTCCCTATGGCCACCTGAACTTCCCCGCAAGTGAAAGCAAGGGGGGCACAGGTTGTTGGCAGTTTGTGCAGCCTTCTGGTCACTCGACATTTGGCTTTGTCCACCGGAGGATGCAGTATGAACTGCCGGCTAAAATAGCTCGCGCATCGCTCAGGGTCCGACGAAGCATGGTCGCCGAAAGAAATTTCGACTCTGTCGTCGGATTGGACAGTGACCTCACGGTTGACCAAAGCTTACTCACACCAGAGGTGAAGTTACAGGTCTTCAGATGCTCTTCCCAGCTTTTAGATGTCGTCGTTGTCGTTGTAGCAGCATACAAGCCCCCCAAAGAGTTTTTGAGGAGTGCTGCTGGAGTGACAGTCCTTGGCCAAATATAAATCTGGGTCGTTCCGGTTACGTAGACCCGACTGTCGTGGGAATGTTTTAGACGTCGTCATAGGGTAATCTGAACTTTCAATCCTGTGCCACACTTCAATCGGGACCGAAATTTATATGTGATATCTTCGGCAATGATAGATCGATTTTGGGTATTAGACGAAAAAAATTGATTTTACACCCCTATTGCGAGTGTCGACTAGCAGTAGATAAACGTCTGTTAGTCGATTATCGATTATTCGTGGTATTTTCTCGTTCAATAAGGGAGTAAGAATAGTTTATACTCGCTCAGCCTTCTACAGACAAACAGTTGAAGAAGGATGAGTGACTAAAAACTATTCACAGATGCTTATTGAACGAGAAATCGACATTCCCAATACCACGGAGAGCGATAATCGAATAAGAGTCGTTTATCTACTACTAGTCGACACTCGCAATAAGGGTGTTAATTTTTTGAGTCTCCATAGAGGAATCTGAACTTTGCACCCTATGCGACACGTCTTAACCGTCTCCAATCGGGACCAAAATTTATATGTGATATCTTCGACTATAGTAGCATCGACCTAGGGGTTGAGGCTTAGGAAATCTTATGTAAAAATTTGCTCCCTACATTTAAGGACCACCCCAATGTGCATACATATGTATGTATTAGGGATGTTTCCAGTGTCATATTTTTCTCATTCGCGAATGCGAATGCAAATATTCGCAACATCCCTGGTATCTATGCATTATAAACGCCAGGACTGTGGAGAAACAGCTGATATTGCTAGGTCGCTGCACTTGGGACTCTCTTACTTCGAACCTAGGAGGACTCTCTGGGAGGACAATACCTGTAAACAATTGTATCATGATCATGCATTAAAGTACATTTAAAACACGATAATTATTTTTATTTTAAACTAATTTAAAGATGTTTATTTTTAATGTTCGGAAATATAATTTAAACTAAAACCACATTTGACATTCAATTACCATTACCATACGGAGCAGCATTACATTGATGCTGCAGTACTTTTTTTGCTTTTAAATTTTAATTCTTTTAGTTAGTTTTTTATTTATGTCAATGACTTTTAAATGGTTCTATTACCATTATGACATATTTTAAACTTCACTACTGGCTTTGTCTTTTCTATTTTTTGCAAGTTGTCTTTTTCATTTACTTAACTTCCATCGACTAAATATATGATGTTTTTTGTGATTCGAATTATTTTAGCAATTTGCATTTACTTAATTTCATTTTTAATTAAGTTAATTTTTTGTGCCTAAATAGCGTTCAGTAGATTTTTAAATTTTGTGTAATTTGGTATTTTGTATTTGCAAAAGGGCGTTTACAATATTTTTTACTATACGCTATGTTGCTTTGCTAGCGCTTCTCAAATACAGCGTTTTTGAACGGAAAATCATTTCAATTTGTTTTAGCTTAAAATCGAATTATTTTGTATTTTTTTTAGGTTTGTATGTACGTGTTTTTGTTTGTTTTTTCTTTTGTTGCATTTTCAGTCCATTACTTTCGCTTTCGTATGGTAATCAACGCTCGCTTTTTATATGCTACGTACATCAAGTGCTTTTTTAATTTTTATTATTGGTTTTTAAATAAAGGTCTTTGTTGTTTTTTAGTTTGACTATTTGGTCAAATGGAAATGAGTATAATGCGTTGCAATTACTATTATGTACTAAGTTTTAAGTGAGCTTCTAATTTTGCATACACACATACATATGTGTGTATGTACATACATGTATGCATATTTGTTTGCTTTCCTTGTGTATAAACTAAATATAATTTTATGCAAGAAAAAGGCGACTTAAAGGTGACTTAAAGCATACGTGAAAATATAATAAAATTAATTAAAGTAAAAAGTAAAACAATAAAATAAGGCATTCAAATGAGTATAATATAAAAAAATACATTTTGGAATTCACAATTTCATGCAAAAAATTATATGCTTTTGTAAAAATTACTTGTATTTTATATTTAGACACATAAATAAGATTTATATGTATAAAGTACGCAAGTGGCAAGTTGGTGAAACAATTCTGCAATCATTAAAGATTCGAGTGTGTCGAAAACCCTTTACAAAATGTTGTTTTTAGTTTTTCTCTTTACCTTTGCTGGTTTCTTGTAAAAACATTTGTCTTATGCTATACGTGTGTGTGTGTGTGTGTGTGTGTGTGTACGAAGTGTTTGTGTGTGTTAAGATTACTTTTTATATTTGCTCTTGGGCAAATGGCAACATAAATTATGTATATTAAGTTTCTTTGCTTCGTACCACAAACAAAACATTAATTAAATTCTCATATAAATTTACCACCTAACGAGGCTAAAACTTTTACTAAATTACAGTGTATGTATGTATATAAATATTTCTGTTATAACCAAATTTTCATCAATGGAATTGGCAAATTAAAGCTTCGTGTAAACACTATTTGAACATACTCGAGCGCAACTTTTACATGTGTGAGTATGTGTTTAGCCACTAACTGTATTTTGTGACTTCATTAGGATGGCGCCAAATACGATATAATACATAACCATAGTTTGTTTATAATTTAACATATATGTATATATAATTAATGTAATATAATTTAATTTAATTAAGTATGAAAGGCTTTTTCGCAATGTGTTTTTATTTTTATTTTTTGTTCAAATATTAATTTAATACATGCTGCATAAGCAGTTTTCCTTTTTCCTTTAAGTTTTAAGAGAAAACATATTTCAGGTACATTATAACTTAAATGTAAGTAACTTAAACGGCGTACACTTATTGGCAATTTAAATAATGGTAAATGTAAAATGAAATATAAAAAAAGATTGAAGCAAAACTGCTTTTCATTAGCTACATATGCATGTATGTATTTTCTATCTTATAAAAGTTTTTATTCGAGTGTGTCCGACCGCTTTCTTATGGCTGGTTATTTCTACCCATGGCCGCGCTTTTTCCTTATCCAAAAATTGTTTTTATGTATCTACTCAGTTATGTTTTATTTAAAACAAAAAAAATGGAGTGTTGATGAAATATTTAGGACTTTTTTTAAAGCAGAGAAATCTGTGCGGCTGGTAGGCTTTTGAGCGCGCAAAAATTTGCGACAAATGAGACAAGCAGGGTTGTGGCTTTGACGTGCATATAAAACTTATAGCTGAACGGAACACTAAGACGCTGAAAAGTGGTGATATGAAACTGTAGCAGAAAGTTTTATCTAAATTTTTAAATTTTTTTTTGGTTTTGAGAATTGGAAGCACTCGGAAATAGTTGAAGAGACATTACTTGACCCAATAAATTTTGAAATAATTGAACCCACATTATCCTAAAATAAAATTTTATTTAGATATACAAATCTAAGTACAAGGCTGGGTGTTGTCACCCCTCGGAGCAATTTTAAAAAAGTATTTGTTATTCGTTGTAGAAAGCCATATCCCTCAAACTGGTTGTTTAAAAGGTCAACTCTCCAAACTCAAAACGATTTTTTGCATATTTCAGACCATTAATATTCTACGTCATAGATAGTATGTCGCAGTTGGTTACTTCATAGACATGCATGCCAAGCTTTTTGAAGCTCTCTGTATATTTTTAAACCATACAGCTTGCAAATAATAAAATGCTTTTTGGGTTATAGGGCAAAAAAATTGAATTCATAAAAAAAATTGCGTTTTGAATTCTCTTGGATTACGCCGAGAAATACATATAAATATTTTGGAAATTCGGCCATCTTTTAATATTTTTTTTTCAACATTGAAAATCATTCTTAAAAAAAAATTTTGGTTAAGCCTAAATTATTTTTATTTTACGCGCATGCGCAAGTTAGTGCATTGAAACATTGAATGTACATATTAAAGCCCACGCCCACCACTTGTAACTGCAATTTACGCGCCCACTAACTTATTCCAAGCTACTTGGGCTGGCCCAAGCAATCCACCCACATTACGGTTCGCATTTTTACATGCATGTGTGTCCATATGTTAACACTTCTACTACTTCCTCCTACTCCACTTTACGCCTTCAACGCCGCTTTTTTTGCTTTTTTCGCTTGCTTCGACTGTTTCTTACTTCCCCTCTTTCGCTGCTTCTTTATCTTTTCATTTACCATTTTCACACTCCTCCTCCGCCCCTTGCTTTGCATGACGTCACGATGCTCACGCCAACAGTGAACCACCAAACTACTGCGCTGCTTGAAAGCTTGCTTGCAATGGCGACAGCTTTTTTTCACCACCCGATGCCTCCAGTATTTGTGCAACGCCAATGACCCCTTGGTGTGATAGTTGAATACGAGCATCGCGGCGGCGCGCTGCTTGTCTTGCGCACACGCACGACAACTCAGCTTATGATCGACCATGCGATTCAGGTATTTGTCGCGCAACATGGCTACTATTACCTCTGGTGGCGCGCGTATTTTCTTTGGTTGCGCCTGTTTGCGTGACGAACGCTTGTCGTGGGCGCTCTGACCGCCACCGGCAGCAGTCGGCGCAGCGGCGCTTTGTTGTTGTTGTGGTTTTTGTTTTTGCATGGGTGCAGCTTGTATGACAGAGACCTTTGCTGATATGGGTGCCACCACTGCTGTTGCAGGCGTAGGTGTGAGCGTGGGCGAAGCGTTAAATGTCGTAGGCGCTGCTGGCGTGGGTGTGGGCATGATTGTCGCGGCCACGTTGGCGGCGTGCATAGGCTTTTTGCTAAAGTCCAGTGGCGCGGTGAGATACTGCTGCTGACAGGCCGCATCCGCCAGCAATGGCAACAGTGTGGCTATTTGTGATAGCGATTTGCGTCGCTTGCTGGGCTGTTGCTGTGGCTGTTGTGGTAGTGGCTGTGATGTCTGTATTGGCTGTGGAATGGTCGTAACAATGGGCGCTAGTGTCACAGCCGGCGTTGCTGCTGCCAGCGTCGAGTGCGTGGGGCTTAGTCGCTGTTGGTGTAGGTGCGAAACGGCACTGGTATGCCGCTGCTTATGCGCGGCGGACACTTTGGGTGTGATGGTCAGCGTGATGTCCTCTTTGTTGCGCAAATATTCTATGTACTCCTCTGTCTCGCTAAGCATGCGCTTGCGGCGCGTTGGTGAGGGTTGCTGATGTTGTTGCTGTGACAGTTGTAGTTCCGCGGGCTGTTGACTGCCGTGTGGCGTCTCGGTAGCCGTCGGCATGGCCGGATACATGAGCGGCGTCTCCGCATAATACTTACTGATGATATCCTTGACATAATTTTGTATTTGTGTGCTAACCTTATTCAAATTCTGATATTCCATAGTGGTGAGGAATGTGGCAGCATTCTGCTTGTTGTTCTCTTTGTTGTCGCGATCAATGTGCGGCAGATCAAGACGATGTTCGCGGTTGTTGTGCGCGGCATTCGTTGCACGTTGGTTGAGCGTTCTGGTTTTCGTATGTTGGCTGTTGTTGTTGTTGTTGTTGTTGTTGTTGTTGTTGTTGTTGGTGTTGTGGTAATTTATGACTTTGTTGTACGCGGGAGGCGATCTAATAAGCTGCTCTTGATTTTCTTGATCTTCATCGTTGTCCAGCCGTTGGTATTGCTGGTATTTGCGCTTGTTGTTGTTGCTAGTAGCTGCTGCTGCCATCATTTCCATTACAGTTTCAGATGTTTCTTGCAGATCGAAATTTTCGCTCAAGAATGCCGACATCGCCTTTCTCTGCTCACTGTTGCCATAACTGCTGCCGCTGCCGCTGCCGCCATTGCTGTGATGCATGGCTGCTGCTGTTGTTGCTGCTGAATCAGTCGCATATTGCCGAACAATGCCTTTTAACGGCGAAGCGCCATCATCACTCGATGAGGTGGTCGATGAGGCAGACGAGGGTGTGTTCTCATCATCCTCACCCGTCGAATGTTGTCGCTGACGCATATGACCGTTGGTATTGCTGTTGTTGTGGTGCTGGTGGTGGTATTTATTGCGCTGATGTTGCTGCTGCTGCTGCAGATGTTGCTGATAGTTGTTGGCAAAGTTGCTGTTGTTGCTTAGGGAATGGAGTAGCGCCGCAGCCTCTTTGGTCGTCCATTGTGAAGGCAGTTTATTATTGAACAGGAGTTGATGATTAGCTGGAATTTTCAACTCTTGCACGCCTCCCGCCTTATGAAAATCCTGAGCGACTGAAGCGGTGTTGCGACTGATTGCGTCCATTTTAAGTAAACTGTAGTTGTGGAAAGAGATAGAGGGAGAGTTAGAGATTAGTAAGCGTATCCTTAGTTAAAAACAAATATTTAACAAATAAAATATTTAAATAAAAAATGTATAAAATAAATTAAATAAAAAAAATAAACAAAGAATAAAGTTTAATGAAAAAAAATAAAAATAATAATTTTAGTGACAATACTTTTTTAAACTATTTTTTACTCAAATTAGTTGTAACTGCACATATGAGATTGTGAGAGCAGAAAAGGCGTAACCCACAATTTTTTTTAATTATTTTACATTAGTTTCCCATGTTAAATATTTTAAAATTAACCCTTCGATTTGTGAGAAGGTCCCTAGGGACCTTTTCGTATTTCATGTGCCTATATCTTTTTGTTCAATGCATTTTTGAAAAGAATTTATACATGTATTCCAAGAATAAATTAAGCTGAATCGTCCCTAGGGACCTTGTACAATTTTAGAAGAAATAACAAGTTACTTGTCTTCATGTTTTGATTTTTTTTCACTTGTTCTTCAAATTATTTCATTCCTAATATATATGCAGGACGTTAATTTAATCAAAAGACAACATAAATACCAAAGAAGTTGCACATGTACAGTCGAAACATCGAGCAACTCTTTGTAGGTCCCTAAGGACCTTCTCACGAATCTAACGTCATCGGCACTGTCACTCATCGGAGGGTTAAAGAATAAAATTGTAGGGTACTCTACATACATTTACACCTTAAAATAAGGAAATCAACGACTATCACTTTAAAATTTTTCGTAGTTGAATCTACTTTAAGAAGTTTAGTAAAAAATATATGGGTTAGGCACTTCTGCTCTCACGGCCTCATATGTATGTACATATGTATGTATTTTTAAAATTTGTTTGGCATAAATCA